CTCTAGAATCACCGAGTGAAGACATGGAAACCAGTAGAAAACAAAGATAAAAAAGAAGGACAGCGAGTAACAGAAAAAGCAAACTGCAGAAAGAAAACGTGGAGCCAAGCGCAAAAGAGCAACAGTACATTTACTGAACCAAAAGAAGTTAGAGAGAAGTTACTGCTTCTCTCCCTAACCCAACAAGCGGGACTCAACTTTTTCTTGAAAGTATCTATATTAAACTTGAGGTAAATAGTATATTTTAAAATCTAATGAGGTTTTTGAAGACTGGACACAGCCTATTGTAGATTCGGTTGAGCTAGGATAACTTGTGTGCGTTATCTTCTTAGCTCTCTTCCCAGACTCCAATCACCTCGAAGGTCTACTTGCTAACTTTATCCTTTTGATATTTTGCATTTGATAATAGATTGCATTTAATTTTTTTCATCCTTACCCAACTCACCCCTCTTGGGTATATCTTACACTAACAATATACACACTTACAAAAATATAATTTAATGGTATGTAATTCATGAGTGGGGTTGATCGGTACAAATTTGAAATATAAAGTTTATGTGGATCTTTTATAATGTTTTAAAGGTTGAGAGGGTTACTTGTGTGTTTAGGATCAAATTCGCAATCTCTTGATCAAAAACAGTGGGTAACATCAAATTAAAGCAGTGGGGTGACAGAGACTTTGACGGTAAAACTTTCTTTTATTTGAGATTGGCAAAAAATCAGTATTCGCACTTAATTAACCGGGCCCATATTTCTGCATCCAAGTTTTTCAAAAAATAATTGTCGCCTTATCACAGTCCCATAGCACGTGAAGGACGTCTTCTTCATGAGATTGGCAGATATCACAATTGAAGGCATTCAATTTCTTCATAGATGCCCAAAGTAATTTTAGAGTGCAACATATGAAAGACTAAGATTCAGCAGTTAGGCGGAAAACATTGATCTTACGTGATACTACTCTCTTATAAAATCCAGTGGATCAGTTTATTCCTAATTTAATATTTCAATCCATTTTCTATTTTAAAATTTTAAATTCTTTCAGAATTCTTCCTATTAATGGTACATATTAAAGAAATATTTCATTAAAAGAGTGATTTCCAATGCAAAAATTTTTAAAAAGTACTTTAAAAAATCAACATATTAGTAAACAAATAATTAACTTAACTAATTTTTTAACATCAATAAATTAATACCTACATATTTTTTAACCAATAACTATTCTCTTCGTCCATTATTATACCACCCAAATAACTCAATTACATGATTTTAAAATATGTTAAAATAATTAAAAATAATGAATATGCTAGAAAATATATTTTTATTTTAAATATGCCATTATTTATAAGTAAGTAAATGAGAAGGTGATAATGAAAAAAATGATTAAAAAAAGTGTATGAAAAAATTAGTTAGAAGTTAAATTGACAAAGTTGCATTCATGCTAAGACGATGCCAAAGAGATCTTACAAAAAAGAATAGAGGGATCCAAAATTTAAATCTTATAAAAAGGACGGAGAAAGTAATTTTCTTTTTACTTCTAGAATTTAATTACCTAGTTCCTTCATGTACAATCAGATAAAGTATTACTAATATTGGATACATTGTATCTGGCGCTTCAAGCCCACAATTTTCTAAATTTAACATTATGCCATGTTTGGCAAGCTGAAATTAAATTCCATACTTTGAGGATGTTGGGGGCAGCAAACGGGCTTCCTTACTGAGGCTTTCTGCAAAAGTTTTTTTCCCCCGGTATAAAAGAAGGCTAGAGCCTAAAAAGAAGCCTTTGTTTTTTGTTTTTTGTGGGCTTGTGCCAACGAAGGAAGCTAAGCGACAGACGATCGCAATCCCAACCATAAAGAATCTGAAAAGCCGTTTCCTTGAGACCCAATTTTGCCAGAGCGTCCCTGACAGTATTGCAATGTGCAGGGACACGTTGAAATTCAAAATTGAAATCGTCGAACAAGTGTTCCAACGAATGCAGAGATGTGAACATTTTGTTTTTGGCACTGAAGGAGGGTTAATTGCCCAGATTATAAATTTTCAAATGTAATTCCACCACAATCATTGTTCACCATCTCTTTAAAGCCCATATCAAGAGCTACATTCAGGCCCTTGAGCATAGCCCACTCCTCAACTTCATAAGCAGTGCAATTACCAAGGAAATATAAAAATCCAGTAATCTAATGTCCCGTAAAATCCCGAAGAACACCACCACAAGCCGCTGTTTGTGAAGAATTTGATTTGGCACCATCAACATTTTATCAAGCTAGATGGAGGTATCCAGCTTCCTCTAATTTCGGTTGTACTCGTAGATTGAATTCCTGCAGGCTCTTTTTTAATTGCAAAAAATGAAAAATAGATTCAAGATAACAGGAGCCTGATTGTGGTTTACAGAAGCCATTTTTAAAGAGTAGTCATTCCTCCGTTGCCAAAGTTTTCATACTGTCACTCCCCATATGATATCCCGATCAGTGCTCAGGTCATTTCCCAGATTCCTAAAATGTTAGTAAACTAAGCTAATTACGAAAATTAAAATAAAATGAAATTTGAAAACGTGAATAATGGAATAGGGGGCGTTACATGTAACTAACTGCCCGCTAACTAAACAAAAATAAACTAATTAATAAAAGTGAAACATCAAATTAAAATTAACTAAATTGTAAGTATCTTCCTAAATATCTACATTAGCAATCGTCCCCCACATTTAGAACCAGCATTGTCCTCAATGTGATAAGAGCAAAACCAGGACAGCAAGGGGGAAGAAAAGAAGAGCCAGAAAGTCAGAAATTTGGAAAAAGGCCAAAAAAAAAAAAAATTTATGAAAATTTGAGGCAGTCACTTAATCCTGCTCCTATTAGCTCGTGACAAATTTTGCTTTAGAAAAGAAGTTCTAGTCAAAAGTACCCATGCTGAATAATTCAATTGGTCTCAAGTGTTAGAAGTCGCAAGACCTAGCATGAATCATTTGCTGACATGTAAAGTACTTGGATTGATTCTATCTCATTCTTACCATTTCCATTAGACCTTTCCCCAACATTACAACAACATAAAAAGTCCTACTGATTCACAGTTTCAATGACTTAAAGAGTGATGGAGAAATTGACACTCTACAAGCCTATGTTAGATGTTGAAGTAAAGAGGTAGAGTGAAATTTACCTTATGGGGTGGGAAAGGAGAGTAGAACGGAATTACCTAAATGGGAAAGGAGAGTAAAACAGAATTACTTTAGTCATATTCTGACTTTGACTCATCATAATTAAGCTTCGTACATTGAGCATTCAATTTGCATTTGGGTACTCCATTCATGATGCAAAGCCAAGGGATTGCTATTATTTGACATACATATCATGAACTTTAGAATACATTTTAGCTCCAATCTTGCTCAGCTCCATTCTAATACATGCTCTTTTGCTAGGGAGTGCAGAAAGACAAGTGTGGGGGAATTTGATAATCTCATTTTTTTTTTTTTTTTTTTGTGTTTTAATTAGGACTCCATGAGGATTTTAAGATTTTATTTCTGACTTTTACAAAATTAAGAATAAATATGGTGAATATTTTCTGATTGGATTTAATGGATAAAAGTGGGTTTTATCTTGGTGTTCAGCTTCTTTCCCAAACTGGACGTGTTATTTTATGTGCTTTTATGAATCCAGGGGCAATTTCGAAAATTTCAAATGCTGAAATGAAATTCCAGTGAACATGGGAAATGAAGTGAACAAAAAGGAGATTCCAAGGCGGGATCTGAAATGACTCTATTTTCTCCAGCTAGGCTAGTCAGATTCGACTAAGAGCAAGTTGCGGAAAGCTGTTTCTAACATAAAATCAAAGAAATGAGGATGACTTGAAGGCAGCCTATGAGTATAAAGAGAGGGAAACCTGTGTCATTGTCTTCTTTGGAGACTTCTATTCACTACTTCGTCCAGATTCATCTTTCCTCTTCTCTCTCAGTTTTTCCCCGTTCGAGTTCATTCTCAGTCTCTCATCTAAAGACTTTCCACTTCCAGAGGTTGAATCCATGGATCTATTATGTTCTAAGCTAAGTGTAGCAGATCTGATCTTCATGAGCAGCTAAGCTTCCTTCTTCCTATAAGTGAAACCATGGCCTGAGCTTCTGCTGTGGTTAGAGAGTTTTGATCCATTTTTCCACTTCATTTCTGTAGTTCAGATTTAATTGCTAGTTGTAATTCAGATTTGAACCTGTGATAGATTGTGATCTGTTGCTTAGATTGGAATTTGGATTGCGAATTATTTCTACTATGTAATTCAGTGTGCATTCTGGTTGTTGAGTAGATAGAAGTGTTATTCAGTTTAGTGGACTTGAACTTAGCACTTAATCGAATGATTCATGGCAGATAAAGTTCACTCTGTTTTCAGAGTGTTTAATTGCATAACTCTGTTATCCCACCTTTTCACTCCATTCCTTTGATAAGCAACGATGGCCAGGTAAAACTCCTAGGAGGTAATCTCTTCTGATCTTATTAATCTTCTTCTAGTTTTCTGCACTGTTATTTCTCAGTCCTTAATAAACAAAAAAAAAAAATCAAATAAACAAGTCGGCTAGTTTAATTCTTTGGTTGCTTCAATTCAGTTCTGCCACTCAGTCATTTCTGATTTTAATTTGTAAATCACTGCATTTAATCTGAATTTTTTAAGAGCTACTGACCAAGAGATCGACCTAGGATTGTTCATCCTTTTCTATAGAGAGTAATTATGGAAAATTGATAGCCATACGACTGGCTTATTAAACTAGCACCGTTGCTGGGGATCCATTCCAGGTCAGGCGGGAATACTCACCACTAGGACCACTTGAAATTAGTGTAAACAGCAGAACGCACTTCAGACAGCAAAAATGACTGAACAGAAATCAGACTTTTTTCGTTTAAATGAAATAAATGTTCCTTAAAAGAATCCAACCAACACCAGCAAATACTCAAGAATAGCAAGAAAATGACAAAGCAGTGCTGGAAATAATATCAGTAAGAAGAATAATACCTCAAACGATCTTGAAATTCTGAATTGATATTGAGAACTGAACAGGAACCTTAGTCACAATTTGAATCAGATATCACAACCAAATAAGGATAGCAGCAATCAGAGAACAGAAACCAGAATGACACAAATGACAGAATATAACTGCAGAAACGGATCTGGATCACCAAATTAAGTGAAAAACCTCAATTAATCTGAAGATCTTTGAACTAACAGCCGGCACCGGCACCGGCACCAGATGAGAGGTACTAGAAAGATCATTCTGGAAATCAGCCCTCATGAAATCACTAAATCAGGTAGTTGTTGAGTGGCGTCTATAATGGTTGCTCATGCAGAACCAGTGGACAAGATAGGAAGGTGTACTATCCAGGCCTAATTCATTAAGGCCAACAGATCATGCAAAATATTTGATGGAATCTAAAATGTATAACCGGCCAACAATCTGGATCCAACGGATTTATCACAAGCTATGAACATGCAGTGTCATAGCTCTTAACTAGTACAAATCATCAAAAGGATTTATCTACATCAGCCAACTGTAAAAACAAGTGCTCAATGGATTGTGGGTTCCCTTCCTTCGTCGTCAATTTGCTAGATTTAGTATTGGAAATAGTTCCTTAAATTTTACAAAATGCAGATCTGCAGTATGTCTAACCAGCCAGCGGATTAGCATGTATTGTTACCCGGTTCAGCCTTATCTCAGCAAGTGGTCGATCCCCTGGGCCCGTTTGAGTCTGCACAAGATAAGTATATTGTCATTTTCTCCAACCATTTCCCTTTTCATCAATTGTTTTCCCTTTCCTATGTCGTGAAGTTAAAGACAGAGAGGGATGTAGGCGTAATATGGCAGCCAAGTTGAGCCTAGACCATAAAAGTTCCACACCCATATAGATCTTCAATGCAAATTATTTTTCAGAAAAAGAATGATGAGAAAATATAGAATATACCTTTTCCATAAGATCAAGTACTTCAAATCCATGAATTACTTTGCCAAACACGGTATACAGTCCATTCAAATGTGGCTGCTTTGCATACGTTATGAAAAATTGGCTTCCATTAGTATTCGGACCACTGTTAGCCATTGACAATATCCCCCTCGCATTGTGCTGAAATTGCAAAATTAAAAAGTTTAAAAGAATACTAGGCCATCACAGTTCTACAGGGTAGCAAACCAATTCTGTTATCCTGCTATAGCTTGCAGCAGGCAGATAAAGACTAATAACTGATGCTCACATTATGAAAGCATCAATATTATTCCCGTAAGACGCTACAATGTAAAAAGAGTTGGAAGACAGTTTCATTTGACTACAAAACATTTTCCAGCCAAGCTTGCATCTCTGTAAGAAGGGACGGCTACAACAACCAGAAGCAATCTCATATCCAATAAACAAAAATCAATATTAAAATAACATACAATGACTAACAAGTCTTTATTGCAAAATAAAGAACAAATGTTCAGCCACCAAAGAATTGCAGCAGAACCAGAGTGTGAAAGGTCAATTAAGCTGCCTGTGTTTTGCAGCAAGAATAGGAATAATTGCTTGCTAAGAAGAATAATGCAGTTCTTTAGACTCCATTTTCCTTCACTTTCAGTTAGGGTGAGGCCAGAGAATTGAGCGAAAAGCAGGCTCATTGGTTCAACTGTCACAAACCCTAAATCTTGTCTAAGTGTACAAGTTAACTTGACCGTATGACACATTATTATATGACACTAAGCAGTTGTTTTGAAAGGTCTCCCAAGATAATTATGCTAATTTTGGCAGAACAAGTTAAGGGTTCACTATTTAACTCTAAGAGGATAACTAACATTGGCAGATAAAACTAAGTTGCTTGAAAGGCCTCCCTACCTCAAAATTGTGATAATTTTGGCTAAAAAGGTTAGGGTTCAAATAGTTCCTTGACTCTCCCATTTTATTACGAGATCAGGTTACAAAGAAGAGAAATTTACTAGCCAAATAGCTGCTTGGCTCATCCCAATACAATGGGAAACTACTGATTAAAAGCATTGGCAAACAGAGCCCAAAAACATAGATTAAGAAAAGGTAATAAAAACCATGAAGACAATAAAATCACAATTATTAGCACAAAAAGGTGGAGAGTAGAAATTTAGCACTCCCATCTTGCTACTTAAATTTATGCCACAGCATGGCTCAGGTCAACAGATCTTCAAAGAATTGAGTAATGATTAGGTGTGTGAACTATTTCAAATATCCTATTGTAGCTTCTGTTAATAAAATTTCAGTCAAGCTTCACATGCTTTGCTCATCATGATGCACTTTCTCACTATATCGATTTGTGGCCATATTGTGGCATAATATTCCCTCTTATCCTATTTACAAGCTTTAAATTTGGAGAGGGGTGTGATCTATTTTATAAGCTTCAATTTGATGTTTGTTAAACATTTAATGCATTTTTTTCAATTTTGCCCTTAATTATTTATTCTCTCATTTGCTATACTCTCTTATCACATTTTCCCATACATTCTCTTTAATGATTTTTCTCATTTATTATAAGGGTATATTTGGAAACAAAACTACATTTCTGACCTATTTACTGGTTTTAACTAATTTCAACTAATTGTTTGTTACTCATGAATTAGTTCTTTGAAGTTTATAATAAGAACCGGAGGAAGCACATCATAAGAAATTCAACCAGAATTCTCAATTCACATTGAAGGTGATTTAACCACAACCCTTTGCAAATGCCCCGTAACTCAATTTCTAAGCTAATAGCAAAAACTTATTATTTCTTCCTCATGCAAGTAACCAGTTTGCCCCAATAAATCTTTGGTATCTTCCATTATCCATAGGAGGACTATTTTCTTAAAATCCCAACTCACATAGTCTACAGAGGAGTCTCTACTTGCTTATAACCAAGAATGCTAATCTCTTCCAAAAGATCTGGTGTATATTTCTTCTAAATGATTATAATTCACAATTCCCTTCTTTGAACTCGTAAACTTCACACTTGTGAAACTCTTGCTGCAAGAGCACCCTTAATGCACTTGATTTTTCTCCTACGAAGTCACCAGTCACAATTACATTTCAAAACGGACAACTAAAAGGAGAGAACTAGGCAAACATTTGGTCCATATCCACATCTTCATTCAAACCTTCATTCAAGAAAGCATTATTTTACATTCAAATAGTGAGGTAGCCAATCCAAATTTCAAACCAACAAGAGAAGCATTTAAATGGTATTAGACAGTAAAAAAAGTCCAAGCAAAGTGACATTTAAGAACCTGGAAACTGATGAACAATGCATTACCATCAACAGATGCACTTAGGAAGCATCATTTGTTAGTAAGCTTGACTTGTATTTTGTGTGGTGAACTTTAGGAAATGGTGGACCAAATTTCCTGAAGAGCCATTTAGCATGTATGGCTTGATTTGGATCACCGCTAAAAGTCCACTTGCTATAAGACAAGAAATTATAGGGTGCCCAAAACAGTGTTTTGCCAAAACAAACTGCAGGGATCCCGAGGATGTTAGTGTATCTAAAGTCATTATTCTCATTATCCACTTGATATGGGATTAGCAGGAATGAAAGGATTCACAGAGGAAGTACGATAACTCCATTATTCATTCTATCCAAGATTTTCCTTTTCATACCTACAAGATATTGTCTTTATGGGTGGAAATTTGGCGTCCTAGAGGACCAAGAAGCAAAATGTGGTATCCCAATCTGGCGCAGAAGCAAAATACAAAGCCACAGCACACTTTGTGTGTGAGATAGTGTGGATAAATTAGATATTGAAGGAGGTTGGTCTCAAGACCTCGTTACCTGCAAAGTTGTGGTTTGGTTATAAAGCAGTACTACACATAGCTTCCAACTCTATGTTTCATGAATGCACAAAACACATCGAGATTGATTGTCACTTCATTCGAAACAAAATCAAGGAAAACTTTATCTCTACAGGACATATGAGAACTAGTGATCAATTGGGTGATCTACTTACTAAAGCTTTGTCGACTATCTTTGTAACAAGTTGGGCATAATTAACATCTATGCTCCAACTTGAGGGGGAGTGTAAAGATAATATGGGTATCTTGTATTTATTATATTCCATTAGTAGTTAGCAGATAGTATTTATTAGCATTGATTCTAGGCTTACTGTTAGTGCAGAACCCTATTTGGGCCTTTGGGCTAAGAAACCCTAGATCTAATCTATGTTAAGTTACAGCTGTTAGAGCAATCAAATCTGATCTGATTATGTATTTGAATTTGATTTTATTCTCCTTGATTTTAGGTATTTATTAGTCCTTAATCTTAGGTCATTATTATTCCTAATATCTTGGATTGAGAGATCCTTTTATCTATTTATTTTGCTGAACTCTTTGATTCAATTAAGTGAATAAACAGAATTATGCAACTTTCATGGTATCAGAGCAATGATCAAATTTGGCTTTGGTCTGAATGCCAATGGCCAAAGCTCAAAAAGCTCATTGACTAACCCTTCCGGCCTGATGACAAAAACTTCAAACCCTAGCAGTCAAGCCCTATCTGATGCCAATCCAGTTTCTATCACCATCCATCGACTGAACAAGCAGAACTATATTCAATGGGCAAGCAGCGTCAGGTTGCATGTGATGGGAAAAGGAAAATTCAGCTATCTAACTGGTTCACAAAAGAAACCAGAAGCTACAGACTCCAAGTTTGCTACATGGAAGCTGAGAACTCTATGGTATAGGCATGGTTCATAAATTCCATGACCACCGAAATCAGCTGCCACTTCTCTTTCTTCCACACAGCTCATGAAGTATGGGAAGCGGCCAAGGACATGTTTACATCCCCAAAAAACAAATCAGCAATTCTGGAAATTGAAAGCTTCCTCTAACCTGTTTGTTAAATGGCAGCAATTAGATATGTATGATACTCATGAGTGGAAGTGTCCTGAAGATGCAACTCTATACGAAAAGATCAAAGAAGAAAATAGAATATTTAAATTCCTGCTTGGTTTAGATGCTGCATATGATGATGTGAGGGGCAGGCTCATGAATCTAGACACTCTGCCCTCTCTGCGTGAAGTATTCTTCATGGTAAGAAGTGAAGAAACTGGAAAAAAGCTTACCTCTAGTGACTCTCCAACTGTGGCAAACCAACAACCCCATGGATTGCCATTAAAAGAGACCTCTAGAGAGGATGATAAACCAAAACAGGGCAAATGCTGTGACCATTGTTGAAAGAGAGGCCACACAAGGGAGGTATGCTGGAAATTACATGGGAAACCAGCCAAGAAATCATGACAGGATAGCAGAGGATACACTGGATACACTGGAACTGTTGACAGCACTTCAGAAAAGGAACCAGATCTGAACAGAGAAGAGGTAGAACTTCTAAAAAGAATTCTGGACAAGCATCAACTAAAAGAAAAGTCAGTATCTTCAAGATATATTGCTCATACAGGTAAAACAATCCTAGCCTTAAAAGCTGATGTGCACCGCCAAGATTTATGGATTGTTGATTCTGGTACCACTGATCACATGACTGGTAATCCTGATTTGCTGACGGATATTAGACCTTGCACATTAGATATTTCTATTCAAGTGGCTGATGGAAAAACAGTGAAGGTTATGGGCTTTGGGACTGCTCGAACAAATGAAGTCCTATATGATGTTTTTTATGCTCCAGAATTAAAATGCAGCTTACTTTCTGTTAGAACTATTACAAACACTCAAAGTTGTAATGCCTATTTTTCTGCCACTACATGTGTTTTTCAGGATCTGGAGTTGAGGGAGACAATTGGCATAGCTAAGATCCTAGAGGGACTCTATGGCTTGGAAACTTATAGCTCTCAGATGCAGTGCTATTCAAGTTTGAAGACTTTCTCTGTTTTTACCAATTCCTCAAACAAAGACTTGTTGTTATGGCACTATAGGTTAGGCCATCCTAGTTTTCAGTACATGTTGAAACTTTTTCCTCAATTCAATAAAAGCATCTTATCTTGTGAAATTTGCCAATTAGCAAAACACACCAGATCCCCTTATAAAGGCCAGCCTCACAAATCTTCTGAACCTTTTAATTTAATACATAGTGACATTTGGGGACCTACACGTGTTAAATCATTGACAAATGCCAAGTGGTTTGTGACTTTTATTGATGACCA